CTGCCGCCGCTTCCGGGTCCGTGGTGAAGCCGCCGCGGAGGGCGATGGCGTAAGTGCGGGAGGGAGGGGGGAGCACGGGGCGGGGGTTGCCGTTTTCCCACCGGGCTGGGGCCCGCTTGAACGCGGTGCGGGGGCCGGTGCGGAGGGGTTGGCCCCGTCCGCCGTCGCTGGGCCTGTCAGGCCGCGCCGGTGGCGGCCTCCGTGAGGGAGCGAGCCCGCCGGTGGGGCGGCTCTGAGGGGCCGGGGGGGGGCAGCGGGCCGCCGTGCCAGGGGGCCACGCCTCCGGTGCTGAGGGGGAGGCGATCGTCGCCTGCTGCCTCCTCCGCCTTGTGTTACCGGTACCGGCGTGGCCCCCTTTCTCCGCCTACTCTCCTTGGAAGCGGCGTGAGAGGAACCCCCTCCGGTTTTACGGGTTCCTGCCTTTTTTATTTTTCTTTTTCCCCTCTTTGCGTCCGGCTTTTCTAGGTTAACGCCGTGCAGAAGGGGTGTGAGGTCAAGGGACAGGAGTTCAGGCGCTTCCAGTTTTGGTTTTGGCCTGGGAGGAAAGTTTCGCTTTTCCCTTTTCCCGGGCCGGTGGCAGACGGTCCCTGCCGGCCCCCCAGGCCCTCAGGGGGCTTTAGTGTACACAGCCGCACTGATTTAACACAAAGCACACCTGCTTTTTTTGGTGTGCCTAAAGCCGTGATGATAATGCGCTTGCACGTCCTATTGTCAATAAAAAAAAAATAAATCTGATATAATTAATTAATATAACATGCTTTAGCGTTTTAATACAGGGGAGGTGTAGTTTAGAGATCAGAATATAGCCAATATCCCCGTCATAATCGATATCTGGATTTGATTCCCATCTTAAGACACATTTCCACAGCAACCTTCACTAAACTTTGTGAAAACTTCCAAGGTTGGAAGTTTACTGCAATGGATGTATCTCCATATATAATTTGATCAGGTTTAATATGAAAAAGACCAATATTGTTGCCATGAGAGTTATTCTGTTGTGTCATTTAATTAGTTAACTCTAACAATAAGCTTAATTAGTTAACTCTAACAATAAGCTTTTCTTATTGTAGCAGAGCAGGTTTTTTCCTGGTTTTTATGTGCAAAATGATGACCAGATAAACAATATCTGGTTTACATTTTGGCAATTGAGAAGAAAAACTGGAGCATGGGGTAGCCCTCTTGTTGTAAAACTATGTTAATAAGTTCTTTCAAATAATCACTGGTAAAAACAGTAGTAAGGTCTGGTTAGGCAGTTGGTGATAAATGGATGTTCAGAGATGTTCGCTTAGGCATTAGGGTGTTTGCATGGCCTGAATTTGCACAATTTGACAGTGTCTTTGGACAAATTAATGCATGAGGTGATTTTGCTCTTCGTGAATTGTCTTGGATTGATTGGGTGGAGGTTCTTGCACGTCTGGAACTTGTCTAAGGAGAGGTCTAATCCTTATGTATGGCATGCTGAAGTAACTCGCCCCTTTTGGGCATGCTGTTAGAAAACTTTGGCATGTGAAATGTGCATCAGCTGCTCTTTGGTAATTGCCCTTTTGCATAGTTTTATCCTGTGGGAAATGGGCAAGAGTTTATTGCTCCTCGCTAGCAGTGTGCAGAGTTATCCTGTGTTTACGGTGGTGTTGAGATATCCCACCTCTTGCTAGTAAATTCTTATCTTCCTCTGTAGCATCTTATAGCACTTGTTGCTGCGCCAAAATCTTTGGATTCACTGCGGACTGGGCAGACACTAATAAAGACCTATATGTAGTTCACTTAAGGATGATGGTATATGTAGCCAGAAGACTGATTTTTAGTTTGATTTATGGCAGACTTACCCCTTTCTCCAAATTGTGGTGATGTGTCAGAGGAGAAATTTAGATGAAGTACTTCTGGAAAATTTTATGCATAAGGTGTAGAAGACTCAATTTCATAGGGTATTTCAGAGGTACAGTTTTTCAGAGTTGTATATATACATATATAAAATAAATATAAATATATATAATAAATATAAATATAACTACTGTATACATACAGTATTTCAGAGGTGTAGTTCAAATTAAAAAAAGGGAGGGGGGAAAAAAAAGAAGTCATGCCCTTGTTGTTGAGACCAGCCCCCAAAAGGAGTAATTAATTTTTTTCTAAATGGAGGACTGTGCATAAGGAAGTTCTTACTTATTTCTGTTGTTATGGACCTTAAGATTCTGTTGTTTGGAGGGTTTTTTTTTGGTTTTGTCCTTTTTTCCTTCTGCAGCATCAAAAGCTGGCAACGTAAGCAGGAAAACAACTCTCTCCCCTGAACAAGTTTGGGAAGTGAGGTTAAACAACAGATTTTTTTTATTTTTTAAAAATTAAAATGAAATGAACAGTCATCTAGAGTTCAGTTAGGCATTCCTATGCTAGCAGTTGAGTGATGCAAGGAGTACTGTATGTTGATTGCCATAGCAGGAGTTTGTCTTATTTCTTCTGTATTAAAACTAATGTCTTGTACTATGAAAAATAAATAAATAAAAATATTTCTCTTCTGCTGTCTTTGACACTGAATCAGTAAATACTAGACTTTTCTTCTGTTTGGGGTTTTTTTTTTCCCCTCCTGCTCTCAGAGGGGTGTTAATCTTTATTTATTAATTTACTGTAGGTGCTTCTCTAGTGGCTTCTATTTCTCTGTTAGGTGAAATGAATCTCATCAGGAAGGTTACTGTAAGAATTATTTTTATCTGGTGTTTTACGGTTCCTTTGAATATACTTTAATTTTTATTTAATTAATTTTTAAGTTAACATGTTATTTACTAACTTAAGCTACTGTAGTGCAAATTATGTTTAACTAAGGCTGTCCACACACCGGTTTATCTAGGTGTGACTCTCTTCTGTGCTCTGTTTTTAGTGCAGCTGTTTCCGCTGGAGGTTGTAGCAAGATTTCATTAGTATAATTAAAGCAGTAGTTTAGTTTGTTTACAGTTTACTGCTATTTTTACTTCAAGCGCGAGCAGAGGGGGAAGAAACTAGGTGTGAATCCTAGTTCTTTTTGTAAAAAAATAATAATAAAAAAAATTGCAAATCTTTAATTTGGTATAAGGTGTGGAGCCAGTGCAACATGTCAGATGGCAGAATTGCTGTGTGGGTGCTGTCATTGAGCTTATTCTTTTGTGTACACGTGTTTTTTTGAGAACAACTTCCCTTCTCTTCCTCTTTGCCTTGCTTGTTGATTAAAGAACAGCTGAGCTGAACTTCCTAGGCTGTGCTGGGCTGGGTTTGAAGTCTTCGGACCTAGCTGGCGTGTTTTGGGAAAGACGCCAAGGTTGGCAGCTTTTTGTTTTGTGAAATGTGCCTAATGTGTGTCTGGGTGCTGACAGTGTCATGATACTTTCAGAGGAAAATGCAGAGGAGTGGTGTTTACATTTGGGAGGCTCCTTTCTAATATTATTTAATTATTTAAAGCTCTGATTTCATAGCAGCTGTTGCTGGAGACCCTTTGAAAGAAAGTGATGGGGTGGGTAGGATGCAAAAATGGCACTTTACTTTTCTCTCAGGAACCACTGTGGGTCTGGCTCCTTTACTAGAGATGTGAAGCATCTAGTATTATCTAAATTCATTTATTTAGACTAAGGGGAATTACCTCCTGTTGTTTAATGTGTCATTTTGGGTGTAATTGTGACTCCATTGTCTTGTAATTGCTATACAAGTTGGGAGTTGAGTATCCTTAGAATGGTAGTTAACCTCTAATAACATAAATTAACATAAATTCGGTAAGTGCTTGATTTCTGTGAAGATCTGAGGAATATATCTGACAAATTTAAACTCCTGTTTTATTCCTCCCATGAATTCTAGTAATAATAAGGGCATTGGCTGTATCCATTATTTCCCTACCCCCTTCATAACTGTATAATACTGTTTCTTCTCAATATCGTGAAATGCTTGGGATTTTTCCCCACCTTTGGATACCAGTTTTATTCGGCTGTTTCTACAAGGTGTGCCAGAAAAAGAGTGTTACAAAGCATGCGATAAACAGACAGTTCTTCCTCCTCCTCTTGTGCAGCCCTGGACCCACGTTACCCTAATGCTCTCGGGCACTGGATAAAATGTCTGTTGCCTTCTTCCTCAGCTATAGGTACAGGACAGACCTTTCACGGGTGGACTGTTGGTCCCTAGGCTGCAGCTGCCTCTGCCAAGCAACTGCACTCTGGTCATTGAGAGCCCAGTGACCAGGCTTCTGTTGTAGTTTTTTTTGTGTCTGTGTCAACTCTTTCATGTATGCATGCTTGCTATAAATTTTTAATGACTTTGTTCAAGCAGAGGTTTGTTAACAGTGTGAAGTGTTAATGTGTCAGGCTGAGGTTAAAAGTAGTTTCCCTGTTTGATGCCATTGAAATGCGTTTCTAAAGATTTGAAGCAGCTTTTGAGTATTTGGCTTTTTAGGGACAGAATATTTGCTGTGAGAATTGGGTTGAGTTTGGAATACTGGAAGTGGGCTGGAAGTGAAGTGCATCCCTGCAGGATTGTAACATCACCTGCATCTTTTTACTACTGAGAAAAATGGATTAATATGTGACACAAGTAATTAAAGAAATTTTTGTAGAGTGTCCATGAAGTGTGTGTTTCTGCTATAAAGCAAGCCTGTCTGACCAGGAGGAGGAAATCTACAGCAATATTGAACTCTCACGTCTTCAAGCCAGTCCACTGTCTGCTTTGAACACACTAAGTGCTCTAAACATGCACAACCTGAAAAGCAGGCCCCAAGTATTTCAGTTTGGGCATCATAAATAAAGGATTGAGCC